TTGAAATTTTCAAATAATATGTATATCAAGCTATAATTGTGAGAAAAAAAATGTCTACAAGTTGGTTTAATGAAAATTGAGAAGAAAAGAAAAGCAACTTAATTATAGAAAAAAATCTACTATCATGAATTTTTTTTGTCTCAAGTCTGAAGGTTAAGGTCGTCCCGCTAAATAAAATTTTGAGCTCCGACCCTAAATGTGATTATGTAGTGAGGAAGGGGCAAGTGATTGGTGCGGATCGAATAGGTTCAAAATTTGATTATCTCCAATGTAATAAGACTGATACATACATACATACACAAACTGATAGACAAAAAATTACACATAAATGAAAAATTTTGGAAAAAACAAATATTCCGAAATAGATTACAAGTATTAAAGAATAACAAATCAAATATATTTCACCAAATTATAACACTTTTACGCAGAAGTCATCGCTGACTTGGGGAGGAAGGACTTAAAGATTTTTAAACCTTTTTAATCCATGCATGATTGATTGAATGTTCTTCCTAAGGCTTTGGTGGTTCTGCAGCAGCAGATTCCTCCACCTTGGGAGGAGGAGCCTCAGCAGCAGCATCTGGCTTGGTAGGTTTAGGTTTCTCAACCTCCTCCTCTTTCTCCTCCACCACTACCTCTTCTTTCTTCTCCTCCACCACCTCTTCTTTCTTCTCTTCTTCAATCACTATCTCCTTTTCTTTTACACTACCACTTGTTTCCTCCTCCGTTTTTGCTGCTTCTGCTGGCAGCGGTGGCGGCTCCACCTTCTCCTCAGTCACAGTGAATGTTGACACCTTCTCAAACACAAAGAAAACTGGACCTGAAACATAGGCTGGCCCATATTTTGAAGAGGCGTCTGATACTGGTTTGGATCCTGGGAATTCTGTTCATGCATATAAAGATATAACCCAATTAAACACACGACAATTTTGAAGAATTAAACCCAAAAATCGTTGAATATGATTTAAATAAATTGCATACCAATTTTAGCCAACTCTTCAAGGAACTTGAGGACAGCAGCTGAATACTTCTTCAACCCTGACTCCTTGCGCTCCTTAACCAAAGTCTGTTTAAGATGAAATTAAGTTGTGTAAAAAGAGCTAATTAATACTTAATAATTGGTCTAGTAATTCACTCTTTCGTTGTTTATCTCTTAGTTTGTCTTATGAACGAGATTTTTGGTGTGACGGGAAAGACGGACACATTTTGTATAGATAGGACATATTTTCTCGTCCTATACGACAACTTTGTAAATATCTTACCTTGATTTCAGCTGAGCAAGCTTCATATAATTCAATTACTTTTGCTTGAAGTTCAGCCTTCTTTTCTTCAAACTCCTTGGTTATTTCCTCCTGAAAACAGATGCATATATAGTTATATCCCACATATATTTATAATCATAAACTGTTCTGTTTGGATGATCTTCTGCCGAAAATAATATAATTTGACCTAACCATAAAAACAAGAGATAAAAAAAAGGAAGAAATATAACAAACCTTGGAGTCATCAAAGGACTTGCAAGCCTCAGCAGCAGCAGCCTTTTTTGTACTGGTTTTGGTCTCAAACACCTTCTTGATCTTTGGAAGCACCTTTGTTTGCCAATAACCCATCTCACTTCTCAACTCAAATATCCCTTTAAGTCTAAAACCGAAAAATAAAAAAAAAACAAACCGAGAATAAAAAAAACTCAAGTATAAGAATGAAATGGTTATCAAATGAGTTTTTAAAGTTACGTAACAAAAAACTGAAATCAAGTACTGAAACTTTGAAGAGCACAAAGAGATTGATAAACTAAGCTAATAATCATCTCTATAATCTTACCTACTTACTTGGGTGATCAACTCTCTTCCTTTCTCTTTCTCTCTCTTTCTCTCTCTTTCTCCTCCAATCAAACTCTCAAGGTCCACCTCTATTCTCTACGACTGTAGCAGCCAACTGTCTCTCCAAACTAATACCACAAAAAGCTTGAGAACCTGGCACATTAACATATAGACATATGCTTCACACACATAAATACCCCTATGGTTCGATTTTAATTGCCCAAATACCTAGTTATTCACTGATAGCAGCCAACCTCCCCATGCAAATTGCCTAAACTACCCTCCACCGTCGGCTTATATAATTAAATTCCAAGGGCTATGACAGCACAAAAATTCACAGATAGGTTTGGCTATTATTTCACAATTCGATGTGATTCAAGGCCAGGGTGGTCAGTGGCGTGGTTGTAAATTAGCGGGGTATATGGGAGAGAGAGACTCACCTACACTTTGATACATTATCGTGTTGTATCTCAAATCAATAACACATTGTTAGTGAAAAAGCTAAAACATATAACAATACGTTATTGGTTTAAAATATTGTCACAATTGTAGTTTGAACATAAATTTTTTTTCTATATGTGGTGGTGTGTGTATTTTTACAGGAGGTAGGATTCGAACTCAATACTTCAAACGCAATGAAAATGATCTTAACCAATCGAATTACGAATTCTTGACGTGAAAGATTAGTTTGAAATATCCATACGGTTGCATACTAGGAGTGTTTGTAAGTTTCTCTATGAAAATGCAGATGGAATTATGGTGAGCCTTGTTGGGTGAGGTGACAGCTGGCAATCACATCAAGGGGGAGTAGAGAAACGTGGGACCCTTGAAGGGTTTTGCCAATTTTGGATGTTGATCTGTAAATTTAATTGTACGTGTATCAGTATATCCATCTTCTTCTTCTTCTTCCTTTGACTTGACGGAAAATACTTGTCACGTGGCTTCGCTGGATATTTAGCAATCACGCCGTCAATGACTGAGAAAAGTTCTTCGAAACAAACCAACCCCCCATGGCCTCATTTGCAAACAATGCAGACAAAAATTCATGCCATGTTACTCTCTGCTTTTTCTTTTTTTTTTGTCAAGCCATGTTACTCTTCGTTTGATTGTATGTGTATACAAAAAACCAATAACAAAATACAAAAAAAAATGCAAAAATATATACAGATGGCTGCCTAGCCTACCACATGGAGGTTGATTATAATTTTATATATTTTTCTTTTTTAGGGTTTTGGCCATAACAAGGAGTGCGATAGATGTTTCTTTTCCGACCTTTGCAAAGTGGGAAGCCTAGGTAACTTGGATCACCCTTTTAAGGTTTAGGCCATAACAAGGGGTGGGAGACGAGAAAACTTTCTATTAGTTTTGAAGTGGGGCTAAGACAGGTTTAATTAGCTGCATATGATTTGGTTTTGGTACTACGAAGGTAAGTGCTGCTGGTACGAGACATCATATACATTAATTTTGAATTGATGACAACGTTCTGGCTTTTGCTGTAAGAATAATTGTATTTTTGTCCGAAGACCAACTAATTCCCTTGCAAATTACACTCAAAATGTACGCAAACATAACTCAACAAATCAAAGAAAGAGCTTTCACACATATGTCAAACCGTAATTTGTTGTTCGAAGATAAAAATTGATATTCAAGTTGAACTCTAACTGAAACAGCATTTTTGGTTTTACCAAAAAAAGATTCTGTGTATCATGCATAGTAGTTGGACTAATTTGCCTCCTGAGTTTGTTTTACAATTTTGATATTATATATTTTTCATAGAAAAAATATTTATTTATCTGTGAAACATCCATCTTTTGCTAATCTGTCAGCCACCCATTTTCCTCAGAGAATTAATATTGAAGTTTAATCTGACTGTTGGAAAATTCTCCAGCATCTTGTTGTTTATTTATATCATCATGCAAGTAATCCTCTCACTTAAATATGAGCTAACGGTTGTGTTTTCTAAAGAATTTATAGTTCGTTTGGTCAATCATATTGATCATTGCATCTGACGTTCCGAGTTCAACTCTCTTTAACTGTCGCTTGACGATTGTTAAGAAAAAAGCAAATACTTTAAAAGGAGAAGCGTATTGCACAACGACTTGGCTAAGCCCATGTTTTTTTTTTTTTTTTTTTTTTGAATCTTCTAACAATTTTTAATTAGATTGGACTTGAAAAATAAATGAATAAGCCAATTAACAGTAGTCGGCTAATTATAAATTTATAAGAATTAAAACAAACCAAAGCAAGCTAATTATTTTGAGTATCATAAGCTGTAGTGTTGTTGTTTATGAGGTATCTTATGAAGTAGGTGGAGTTATAGAATTATTCTCCTTCAAGATAAAGCCTCAAAGACCACGACCGAGGCCACATTAAAATATTTATATAAAAAGGATAATTAGTGAATTAAATTTGTCATACTTGAATTAAAATAATATTTTGTCCGAAAAAAAAAATTACAACCTCAACTATTTTGTCTCCAAATGAGAATTTGGACCAATTCACTGTAAAAATAAATAATAAAACGGATGTTCACTAATTTGAATTGGATGAAGTTATGTTTGTGAGTGACATAGTTGTCTGGGTTGTTTTTGTCTGCTATAACTTTGCGTTTTGCAATTTTATGCCAGTTGTTTTGTTACTCTATTAAGTGTGATAATTTTTTGTCTTGTAGACGTTTTTATTGTAATCCGAAGTTTATCTATTGAATTTTTTTGTCATTTCGATTGAAAGGAAAAGGTTAAGTAGTCTTCGTCGATGGCTTGGGCAAGCTTAAACATGAGAAGCAAAAATATTCAAGAAGACAAAGGATGAAGTGGAAGGTAACGTTTGAGTGCAAAACTCTATTGAAAATAACATAACATTATACCAACAACTCTATGTCACTCTGACAAAGAAGGTGTTTAGCTTTTAACATTATGAACCTTCACTAATTAATATTTGCCTTATCCAACCCTGAGGTATTTCCAACTTATAATGTCTTCCCGAAAGAGGAGAAATTCTTCAGTACGTACAACAACACTCATAAACGGGTGAGACCCACATGCAGAGGGTCTCACGTTATTAGTGTGTTATCTTATCCAACAGCCAGCACAGTAGAATTTCACCTCAAAAGAAAGCCTCTAATTCATTTATTAAAGCAAACATGAAACTGTTAATCAGTCTTCGTCCGCAAAGACCATAATCCAAGTTATAAAGTAGTTCATTTCATTAGTAAATCGCGTTAAACTACATTAAGAACGTTTCAGCTCTAATAAATTACCGATCTCTCTTTCTGCAACAAATTTTGCCGCAACACGGCAGAGCCAAACTAAGCTCAAAACTGAGCAACAAATTATATTCGGGGGATTGTGAACTTACCAACAATTGATGGTTTGACGGTTTCCTACTTAAAGAGTATCACCAGATTAATCTATAACATAGTTGGGATTCACAGTCAATATTCTTTCTTTTCTAGATTTTTTTGACTGTTGCCCTACACCTTCGCCTTCACCTTGACCTCCACCTTCGCCTTCACCCTCGCCTTCTGCTGCTTGACTACCGTCATGTAGTACTATCAGATGTCCTTCTCTTGTTATCAACCACTGCATTTCACGTGTTTATTTTTCTCTTTTAGTAAAAGATAACTGCTATTACGTCCAGATAATATAGCAACATTTACACTAACATTGCGGGTGCAAGGTAACGGTACTCTTACCTCTATTATGGCACTGATTATGGTGACTTCACGCTCCGCCTCCTCCTTGGAACTGTAAGCATTTTTCTCGTCCTGCTGTCTCACATACCATTCAATCAAATCCCTCTGCCTCATTCCAGCCAGCCCTGTCCCTGAAACAAGGAACCCGTTAATTATTTTAAGAACTTTCCAGAAAATGAATACAAATTACATGGTAATAATTACAAATAAAGGTTGGAGTCCATTTGGAAGAAGTGGTTTCAAAACTAGAGAATTAGCTAAGATTCTACAGTTGGATTGCTTGACGGGACTATCACAATGCATAAACATCTATCTTTACTATTTAGTGATTTATACAGAATTGGAACCAACATTCTAAAGGAAAACTGATCTAACATTTCATCATTATCTACATGTTAACAAGAATAAAAAAAAAAAAGAGTAGATGGCTTACCGCTTTGCCTAACATCTTCTTCATGCTGTCTAAGACGCATGACAAGGGCCTGGGCAATCCTCTGAAAGTATTCATCACTTACTTTAATCTTTCCTTGGTCAGCTGCACCATCATCATTTGCTACACCTATTACCCACATAAAGTGATCATGTTAAGATCAAGTTTGAAGAAGGCACCCAAAAAAAAAAAAAAGGGTCTTATAATAATGCCAGCATCCTCAGAGGCTGGCTCAGCTTTGGCATCATCACCTTGATCAAAATCGGACAGATCAATCTCACTAGACTCCACACTGAATGACAAAAGAAAACGCACGTTATTGACACAAAGCCTCAGAATTTGGAGAGTGTGTGTGTGTGTGTGTGTGTGTGTGAGATAGAGAGAGAGAGATGATACGAGAGGAGGGAGGATATTCAACATCGTCTCATAGATTTCCTACCTGATCACTGATGTTTTCAGCAATCTCACTGCTAAACGGACATGGGCTGGTTTTACCTGCAAGAATTTGTTAAGAGTTGAAAAACATGTATCTTATCTTAAACCCCGATAAATAACTTGCCACAATATTAGGCACCTGAAGGTCTAAATGACTTCGAGCAATGGCTTCGGATAGTCTAATCAACGCCTCTAGTTGCCTAACTGTCATGCGATAAGCAACTCTACTACCAGGAGCAGTATCACCTCTTCTGAGAGCAACATAAGATTCCACCAACAGCTTTCTAGCATCGGAGTTTAACTGCGTGATTTATTCTGCTCGGTCAGATACAGATAGAGAGGGGGTGAGGTTATGGTTTTGGAAGTGCAGAGAGAATACCTTAGGTTTCAGAGTTTTAGCAAATGCAATATAACGTTTCAGCTGTGCAGTAGTGAATTCAGGAGTGAGTGCCTCTTCGCGCTTTTGATGTACTCTTACAATGTGGTGGGCAATGTGGTAATCAGTTTGATCATCTGGGTCATCAATCATAACATATACCAGATCAAACCTTGAGAGGATAGGAGGAGGAAGAGCCACATTATACTGAAAAACACAAACAAAAAGGTGATAAGTCCATAGCCTCCATACAGAAAATCTATAAAACATTTCCATTTCAAAATAGTTTTTCCCTACGGAACGTCGCCCAGGGGAATAACCCCGCACTTATTAAAACAGTTCTTAAAGTTTAAGTTTCAAGCATATATATACCTTGAGTGGTTTAGATTTATCATAACGGCCGCCTGTGGGGTTAGCAGCAGCGAGAATTGATGTTCGAGCATTCAGTGTTGCCTGTATCCCTGCTTTTGTAATGCTTATTGTCTGTTGTTCCATGGCCTCATGAATCGCAACCTAAAGTCCATTACATACCAGTTAATGATAGTTTATGCATCTAGCTCACACCATCTAATTGTACCAAACAATAAGACAGTTACCTGATCCCTAATGTCCATTTTGTCAAATTCATCAATGCAACAAATACCATTGTCAGCAAGCATTAACGCGCCTGCCTGAAATGAAATCACAGGTGACAAATCAGCATTTCTGGAAACAGACCGGCAAAGAGATTGCCAAAAGAAATAGGAAGCAGAGGTATGTACTCCCTCACAATTCACAAAAATATGACAAAATCAACCTGAAAATGCAGCACTGAAAATCTATTAAGTGAGCTATAATTCCATAGAAACAAATAAATATGTGCAAAATCGTTAATAAGCGTCCATAAATTTAGATGCTACCTCAATACAAAATTCTCCTGTTTCTGGTTCTTTGGCAACAGTTGCAGTTAAACCAGCAGCAGAGGAGGATTTCCCAGAAGTGTAAACAGATCTTGGAACTATTCCTGCCGTATACCTACAGTTGATTGAACAACATAAAAATGTGGATGTGTCTACAAACTAGGGGAACTGAAATGATAAGCAGCAGAACGGACATACTTGAGGAACTGAGATTTTGCACAACTGGGGTCTCCAACTATACAAACATTGATGTCTCCTCTCAAGTTGATGCCTTCATGAGTAAACTTGTGGACACCACCCAGGAGCATAAGCAGAATTGCACGCTTGATATCTTGATGGCCAAATACAGTTGGGGCAATGCTATCAACAAGCTTATTGAAGAAATCAGGGGTATTCCTCATTCTTTGAACTTCGTCTTTCTCTTCTTCCTGCCAAATTAATGAACAATAATAGTGGGTCAGAAAATTGTTGCCCAAAAATAATAAATATGCATGCAGAGTTCCAAAACATAGCGAAGTCTTAGTTTCGAACAATAGCCAGATGAGAAGAAAACAAGTGAAGGATCAAAAGTGAAATCCGAAATGACAAGGAACAACAACAACTAGAGACTAGCAGATGGGAAAAAAAGCACAGAAGGTTGTATCAGGAACTAACAGTGAACTGCTGGTTGTCATCGTCGTCAGCATCCTTCTTTCTATTCCGGACATCAGTATCCTGTCTACCATCAGAAATCTGGAGGAAAAGAACCAAAAATGCAATTGTAAAGAAAGGATCATAGAAAAAAACCAATCACATAACCAGAAACACTAATCAAATCTACTCAATGGCAAACCTGAACTGAGTTGGCAATAAAGGCAAGGCGATAGGAGAGGTCTCTCACTCCCAATGCTTTTAGACCCCTCACTCCTTCATGTCCAGCCATAGAACCATTGCGCTGGGATGCTTGTCGAGAACACTCTGCTCTGTCTCCAGGGGAGGCCAATGCCATTATGTCTGGTATGACAACCACTGTGCCCGTGAAAATGACCCTATGAGTGCACAAAATGAAACAGACATGGAGCTTAGATACATGCTACTAGTATGCTGAAAAAAAAAAAACACTAGTTGGAATCAAGCAAAGGGGGTGACTTTGCTTACGTGTCACCGGCCCTGGCCTTCTCAACAATCTCGTGGCGGATAATAACATCCAGTGATCTAGGAAGGGAGCCTGCAGGTATCTCTTTGGACGTCTCCTGCATTCGTACCCTCTGCCAGTCTGCAAATTTGCTCTCTTGCCGAAGCAACGCCCACCTTGCTCTATTGGAGCAGGTGGCATTGACACAGATTGTTGGCTTTGAACCCACAATTAAAACAAAAAACCAGAATCACCCACCAGAACGCTCAAAACAAACATTAAACTATTGGAATAAAAAAACAATTGCGCCATTAAAAGTAAGCTGGCTGACCTCGGTGTACTTGAATTGTTGTTCGACATTCTTGATGACGCCTCCGCACTCCAAGCACTTGAATGTCCCGTGGAGAAGCTCTGGTCGAACCTCACTGGTCCGAGTCACCACACCTTTCACCGATACCAATTTTCCAATTTCTGCAGTGGTCAATTCCCTCAACCTAGAATGAAAAAAAAAAGTTCCATTATTTTCCATGTCCCATTTGGAAGCTCAATCAAATTCTGTAATATTAACTAAAGAAATCAATAAAAACACACCTCTTGGAGACGGGGAGGTTGAAGAAGGCGACATTGATGTCCTTGTTTGTATCGTCGGAGATGAAGTTGGGGCGGAGCTGGGTCACGAATGTCTTGCAAGCGTTCTTCAAATAGGGCTCAAACCTAATCAATCAAACAAAAAGTCGATCGATTTTGAGTGAATACACAAATCAATCAAGTTGGGGGATTTGGGGGTTTTAGGGTTTTCAGAAAATGGACCTGAGAAACTCGTCGGAAATGGCTTTCTGGAGGAGATTGTTGAAGACCATAACGTGGGAGAAGTCAATGAACATGGTGCTGGATTCGTTGGCGGCCATGGCTTCGATCTCCGCCTCGTAATACGCCTCTCCTCCTCCACCTGCGATCCTGAAGTTCTTGAGGAAGTCCACGAAGATGGACTCTACCCTCACCGCCTTCTCATCCACCAAGTATCCTCCGTAGGCCTCCATTTTTGCTTCCTCGCAGTCTCTCAGTCTCTTTTCTCACTTCTGAGTTCTCTCTCTCTCCTCTTCCTCTACAGTTCCCTTCTCACTCCGTGCCGCTTTCTGGTTTCTGGCGCCAAAATAAGACCTGCCAGTCTGCCACCACAACGCCTTCCCGCCAAAATACGCCTAACAACTTGGGCCAACTTTATAAAATGGGCCTCCATCACCATTTACCACTAGTCCAATACAAATTTGAATTTCGTAGCATTGAAGTCTCATCCTTGTTTAGTGCATCCAAATATATAAAATAAATAAATAAATAAATAAAGTTTCTATCACAAATGGTCTTTGAAATTGATCATCACCATCAAGATAGTCTCTGAAATTAAAAATCAATCAATGTAGTCCCTGAAAATATGTATCGCAAATCAATGTGGTCATTTCCTCACAATTCTGTTTAAAATTATATTAAATGCTGATATGGCACATAAATAGGCCCCACAAGATTTACAGGTTTTTATCACAATGGTCCCTGAAATTGACCCACACCATCAATATGGTCCCTGAAATTGAAAATCAATCAATGTAGTCCTTGAAAATAGGTGTCGCAAATAAATATGATCATCTCGCCACAATTCTGTAAAAAAAATTTGTTATGTGCTGATGTGGGTTTAATAATTAATTTAAAAAATTGTCTAAATACCTGTTTGCACAATGAATTTTTTTTCTTCTTCTTATAGTAGGGAGAGATCCCTTCCACAAATTCTCAAATGCACAAGGCTTAACCAAGGCCTAAGAGGGGGTGTGGAAATAGTTTTCAACCAACAATGGATGCACCTCGGTTATAACCTCATTATCTCAAGGCAAACCTCGTCGTTCTTTGCATCACCAAACTACCAGGGAAGCCCCGAACAAGCTCTCTAAGATTAAGGTTGTGAGGATGTTGATCGCCTAAATGTTAACGATGATGGCCCAAAAGTCATTGTCAATAGGCCAAGCCGTCACCAAAGGTAATCTCGATCTAGGTTCAATTAGGTGAAGAGTGTCGAAGTGTGTAAAGATTGGTGTATTGAGATTATTTTTTAGAGAATAGAGAGCGAATGAGGTATAGAAATGTGGACTAGGATCGGAGGTGATTGCAAGACTGGGTTTTTGGGTTGACAATTTTTTTATTAACTATTAAATTATCAAGCCTATTTGTAATTTTTTTTAAAATTTAATTAGATTTGTGTGAGCCATTTATGTGTCACATTAGCACAACAAAATTTTTGACAGAATTGTGATGGAAGGAATGCATTGATTCGAGACACTTACTTGCTGGACTACATTGATCAATTTTCAATTTCATGGACCATTTTGATGTCACGGGTCAATTTCAATGACTATTTGTGAGAAAAAATGACTTATGGAGCCCACTTATATGCCACATTAGTACTTAACAGATTTTTTAACAGAATTGTGACGGAAGGACCACATTGATTTGCAACACCTATTTTTAAGGACTACATTGATTGATTTTCAATTTTAGGGACCATCTTGATGATGAATGTCAATTTCAGGGACAATTTGTGATAAAAACCCAAAAAAAATCTAAACTACACTAAAGAAAAGAGAAAGATTTTGAATCCGAAACGTAGTGGGTTGAAGAGAATACCTTAACCACGAGAACAATCCACCACTTACAACATCAAAATTATTTATATATGTGACTTCTTTTTTTTCTTTTAAAAAGGGGACAACTAGTGGCAAGTCACGGTTATCCACCATTTTCGAAGGCCGAGAAGATTCACATAAGCATTTTAGCCTATATGTGAGTTATGTTAATTCATTGATCAAACTCATCAAAATAGCGTGTATGTCATTATGTACCTAAAATTTTATTTATCATTCTAATTAACGACTCTCAGTAGCACACGCGTCCTGAGCGAACATCTTTCTAATTGGTACGTGTTGCTAATGCTATTCTCATGTAAATGTAATTAAACAATAAAATAAAAGAAAGTTAATATAAGAATGGAGGATGAGTTTACTTACAATCCAAGCATGCACTAAAGGATGACTTGCCCGCAATTGGAATTCCTGAATTAGTCACCAAATATGAATGAATGTATAAGAAAATGAATTTTTAATGACCCTCTATCATGGACTATTTGCCGCCTCACAGTTTAACGTCAATTATCGTGCCAACATTATAAAACATTTTGTCAAAAATATAAAGGAATAGAGAATCTATGAAAAATCAGACTTTAAAAGAGTTCCCTTACATTTCTCAATCAAAATATGCAATTATAGGTCTGCCGACCATATTGATATACGTAGAGGTTTTATTATGAACCTTATCAATATTGCTATGACCTACTTCTGAAGTTGGCAAAAGATTATCAGTCATTGCTAACTAATTTAATTATATTAATTTATTTTTAAGCTCCTTGATGAAACATTTACTCTTATGTTCTAAACTTTTATATAATCTAGATCTACTGTAACGTATGGTGTAAGATTCTTTTCTTTTTGAATTTCTTTTCCCTCCGGTTCAAGGACAGAGCCACCTAGGGCCCAGCAGGGGCATCCGTCCCCACTCATGTTTTTTTTTGGTGAAAAACTGTACATGCTTGTGACATTAGCAAAGTGTATTACTAGTTTACTTGTTTGTGGCATTAGCATTAACTCGTCTTGTTGCTATTGCCAACGTTAAAAGAATATTTTCGACCATAAAATTTATGAAGAATCGATTGAAAAATTGAATGGGAGATCAATGGATGATTATTTTTAGAGAGAAAGATATTTGATGGTATTGGTAATGAATTTTTCATGTAACGGTTTCAAAACACGAAAACGCATCGAGAAATATTGTAATATGTTGTGAAAAATCTTATAGATTAGCATATAAGTATTTTGTTTAATAAATTTTTTAGCATTTTAATTTGTGACTTTGTTGTTTGAGGATGCTCCCTTCCATACAAATCTTTGGCTTCATCCATGCTCCACTCCTCTCATTTTTGAACAATCACGATTAAGCTACATTAACATCTTATGTTAATATCTTTATAAAAACATAAAAAGAGGAAAATGAAAAAAGAAGAAACTGAAGAATAAAAAATGTAGAAGGAAGAGAATCTTACTCAATAACGTATAATGCCGCCCGCAGTTCATCACTCGACGGTGTGCATTATCCATCACCGTTTTGGCCAAAGCATCGTGATTCATGATGAGAAAACGTTTAATGTTCAGTGATACGTAACTGCTAACCACATCCAATTCAAATTATAAATTCAATCGTAGTCGCACAAAAATCCCCAGTTAACCACCGATCTTGGCAAATCCCCGTCCGAAGTTGGGGTTAGCTAGCTAGGGCATCATCCATCTTAGGCAAGCAAGAAAGTAAAGCATGCTTAACGGTAAAGACACGTGTTGAAAACCCACCAACCCCTACAACTGGAAATCTGAAAGTCTGGGCATTTGGCAATACAGCCTCTTGTTCATCGTGGCTCAAATTTAGCCGTTGCAAGACTTTTTTTGTTTTTGTTTTGTCAATAACCGTTTGAAGACTCCAAGTCATAACAAAGGCACAAGCTCTCTTTCCAGCTCCTTCGTTTCTCAAGAATGATTTCCGCATACTTTTTTTCATATGCATATTTCTAATTATATTATAATTTTTGGATTGTGTAAATCAGAAGAAAATTCTATATAGAAAAAGTACACATTGATTGCACGCATTTTTTTTTTTTAAGTACAATGATAAAATTAGTGAGTTAGATAATTAATTATTAGAAGAAAAGGAAGTCGGTGGAAATCAAACATACACTAAAATACATAAACATAATTCCACATATTGTTGAGCAAAACAATATTAGTGCAATTAGTAGAAACATAATGAATGCCACCTCTTGTTCATCGTGACTCATATTTGGCATTGCATGCATGAGGATGTGCTAAGTGGAGGCCACGAGGAGAACTGGAAGCATACAAACGTAGCCGTTTTAAGACTTCAAGTCATAACAAAAGCACATTAATTATCTCTCTCGCCCTTTTTGTTTTAATTTATTTATTTACGATTTTTTATATAAATTACAAGGACATAAATAAACAGTGAGGATGCGATAGGAAAAAATAATGCTAGAGAGACCAAATTTTTAAAAAATAAATACGTTTATCAATACTTAAGAGATAATCAAATCATCAATATATAAGCACATAATTTAATTTACAAAATTTGGTTGAGAAATTCGGTCTCTCTAATATAGAAAAAATGGGGTGTTGAAAGTGTGACCGAGTCATTTTTTTTCTTCTCAGATTGTTGTAGAGATTGACAGCGAAATGAAGAAATTGCAACAATTAGTTCAACATATTACGTAAAACACTTTTGACTAGGAGAAGAGATAGTGGAAGAAAATATGGAAGAAAACGTTGTGTGTTAAATAAAATATTTGATTTAAAAAACTTCCACAACAATTCTACTTTGTAACTGAATGCATATGATGGCGTGAGTTCAAATCTCCTCAGCGGCTAATCTAACATCTAATTTAATAAAATTTATTGTTTGACAAAAAAAAGAAGTCTAAAATACACTATTAAATTCCTCTAAATCCAATAAACTTCTTCACTTTTAAATCCCGCAATATGATTTGAACAAAAAAGATAGTGTAATATAAATTTCTTAAAAATACGTATTGAATACTCTCAGATAACAAGTGGTTAATTATTTTTTTTCAAAAGAGGTAAGGTGTATGTCACCCCTCTTTTCTTGTATTTTGTTTTTCTTGCTCTATGAGGGAAAAAGTTTATGTGCTCCTGATAAGGTTTAACTTCTTTTTTCATATCAATAAATTTTCCTCATATCGTCAAAGTTTTCTAAAAAACAAAAAAAAAAAAAGAGTACTATTGAATACTCTTAAATTTTTTGTAAACCTTTTTAAAATTCTAATTGAATAGATCTATATCATTTAGCAATTAATATTAACATATTTGGAAATTACATCCAAAATCCGAAAAGCACAACTAAGTTTTTTGTTTTACTAACCTTCTATATAAAATACCCTCACTCTGAATGTAGTAGACATCCGGATATTGAGTGCAAGGATAAATAGCACTGAAACTCTAAGTCCACACTATAAATATCTCATTCTCATTTAAAAGAGATTCACCTCCTCA